TGGGCGTGGTAGTGCACGTCTGTAGTTCCAGCTACTTGGAAGGCTGAGACGGAAGGATTGCCGGAGCCCAGCAGGTCGAGGCTGCGGTGCCAGGAGCGGCCACTGCACTCCAGTCTGGGCGACAGAGTGAGACTCCAAAAAAAAAAAAGACAAAAGTGACATGAGGTGGGAGAGCTGAATACCATGTGTCACTGGGGTTTCCTGTTGGCATAGAGGGCACCACTGGGATAGTCCTGCTATACACAAGGCACAGCCCCAGCGCCTACTGGTTTTAAAACACTCACTAAAGCATCCAGAGGTGAAGGGCATCATCTGCTACTTACTCTAAAATGGTTAGGGCAAGAGAGTGCGTGTCTATATATACATGAAGGCAAAGGTAAAAGCCAGCATGATAAAATGTTCACATTTGGGGAATTTGGGAACCCTCTGTACTATTCTTTTAACTTTTCTGTAAATTAGGCTAAAACAAAAAAAGGGAGAAAAAAGCAGTGTCTGGGGCTCATCTTGACTGGTCCTATCCCTCCAGCTCTGCCCATCCTTACCTGCTGCAGTCCCAGGCATGTTGGGGTAGGGGCCGGCAGCGGGGGCTGGCTGGCTCATGTACACGCTGTGCATGGGGGAGCCCTCCACTGAGCCTGACGGGCTGAAGGTACCGGGGAAGCTGGCTGGGCCAGAGGGCTGGTAGAGCACGCCCCCAGCTGCTGGCATGGCCTGGAGCTAGGGACAAAGAAGAGACAGTGGTGAGAATGGTCCTCAGGCTGGGAGTCCTTGGACAGGTAGGAGGAGGGCACATGCCTGGGCGTAGGGCAGGGGGAAAGCGGGCATCTGGGCACGCATCTGGACTGTCTGCTTCTGCTGTTCCAGCCGTAGCTGCCGCTCTTTCTCCTGCTCCTGCAGGCGCTGTATGGCCAGCTGCCTCTGCACTTCCAGATACTCCTACTCAGAGAGGAAGCAGAGGTCAGGCCAGCCCTGTCTGCCAGGTCTCCTCCACCACGGCTGGGCAGTATCACACCTGCTTCTTCTGCCGCATGATTTCCAGCTTCTGGGCTAGCTGAATCTGGCGCTGGCGCTCCGCCTCCTCGGCAGCCCGGCGAAGCTTCTCCCGATGCTCTTCACGCAGGGCACTCAGTGCACCCCGGGCATCACGGATCTGTGCCAGCTTATCCTGCAGTCCCTCATAGTATACTATGGGCAGAAGGCAAAGCAGCCCTTACCACTCTAGCCTGGGGCCAGAAAGCTCGTGGGTGGAACGGACACATGGACTGCCTGCCCTGTGCTAGGCTCCTACCCTGGGCCATGTCTGGGCTTCCCTGTGCCCAGCCTTCTCCAGATGATTTGCAGGCATCAGAGATCTGGGGGAGGCACTAGACTACCTCCTGATGGACCCTGTGGAGAAGCTCACAGCCTCATTAAAGGAATTGCAAGGGGCCCCAGTTTCCTTGGGGCAGGGCCCACTCCCACTCCCCGCAAGGAGCAGACAGTGCCCAACACTGAATGGCACTCAGAAAACCCCACTTCCTGGAGCTGAGGGCACGGGGTACCTACACCTTCGCTCGTCCAGCTGGTTGAGCAGCTCTAGCAGTTGTGGGTGCATGCTGTTGATGGACTGGAAGAGTGAGAGCACGGCTGAGTCGTTGGTGATGCTGCGGCCACGCATGTGGTTGCTCTTCATGCGATTGACAAAGGTGGTGACAGCGTTCTGTAGGGCCTTCAGGAACTGCTCGTGGCTCTCCTCGGACTCCCCATTCTGGTACTGCTGCTGAGGACACAGTGTAGGACTGGTGAGTGACCCACCCCTGGGCCCCACCATCATCCCTGGAAGGGAATACTCAGATGGAGGCACCTGGGCTGTGCCCAGAGCCTGGAGTGGAATCGATTTACTCCTCACATCAGCTCCAACAGGCAGACATGTGAGCAGCTCATTCTACACACAAGGAAACTGAGGCCTTGGGCTCTTGTTCACAGGCATAGAACTGGCTAGAAAGGAGCCAGCACAAAGCCCCTCGGCCTGGTGACAGAGGCCTGCCTTCTTGCCTAAGGCCCTGGTCTTTGACTCTGATGTCCGACAAAGCCTAAAAGCCCCAGGAAAGGCTGAGGACTCAGATGGTAGTTCTGGGCTGCTCTGGATTATTCAAATTTATGTTGGGTTTACAGAGTAGCTATAGCCCTGGACCATGGACCAGCCCAGGTAGGTTCCAGCATGAGAGGCTACTGTGGGCATGGCAACCAAAGGCCTGGGCAGACTCTCGCTGGCCCAGCCCTCTGGTTAGGATGGGAGCCAGTGCTGTGTGCTGCATGCCTGGCCGCAATTCCCCCTGGCCTGCAGAGAAAGCCTCAGCTTACCTCGCTAAAGGGACCACCGGAGGAAGGTATGGGCTGAGCATCTGTCTCCGGGAGGGGAGTCTGGAAGAGACCAGAAGATGAGTGAGGGCTCAACCTGTCTTGCATCCACTCCTCCCAAGGGGCCGTGAACCTGAAACACCAAGAGCAGCCCCCTTACCTCCACCACATTGGCAGGGGCCACATGCACCTCCCCAGGCTGGGTGGCTGACTCCGTCAGGGGCACAGGTGCAGATGGCGTGGGACTCTTCCGAGCCTCCTCCTGCTTCTTCTCCCAGTAGTTCCGGTTGAGGTACCGTGCAAGCTGCATGGCAACAAGGGGTGTCATTCCCAAAGCCAGAAGCAGTCAGAGGACATGCCATATGCCACAGCCCTTACCTCAGGGTCGATGTCCTCAGCCAGAGGTGCTGATGAGTTCTGGGGAGACAAGGGGCATCTGAAGGGTCATAGGCTGAGAGGAGCAGTCATTTGGGTGGGGACCCAGGTGGCACCAGTGATGGTGGATCCAGAGGCCAGAGCCTCTGCCTAGGTGCCACCTCCCACCACACTCGCCCTTCATTGCTGGTGTCTGAGCAAGCATCTCTCCTCTTTTATGTGGCATGGTTTTAAGATCCTAGAAAGGCCTGTGACATTGCCATATGCCATGGAGCTCCTAACTTTGCTAAATGAGACACAGGGAAGCACCTAGCCAGCCCTCATGTTAACAGCAACTTCCTGACTGGATAGTGGTGACAAGGCCAAGATGTTCAGAGGGAAGCAGTGAGGCTCAACTCGGCTGGCAGGGGGCGGGGCTGTCCTGAGCCCAGCTGCACCACAGAGCCCTTCCAGAGCTCACCCATGACTTCTTCGACTTTCTGTCCCTGACCCACCCCCTAAGAAACAGGTTGCCTCTTCACCTCCAACATACAAAGTGGGGCCAAGACCAGAGAGAAGCAAGGTGGATCTCCTGGAAAGCAAGCCCTTTAATGCCTGAGGGGTGGCAGGGTGGTGGAAGAGATGGGGTCTTGCCAGCAAGGCACCTTCCCCTATCCTCAGTCCCCAGAAGGGGGCACCTGGACCTGAGGAGCAGGGAGACACAAGGCCTGAAGCCATGGGCTGCACCCTCATGTCTACCTGTGTAGTCAGATGGTTGTCCCCTGGGGAAGCTCTGAGAGCCAAACCCCTAACCTGCCCTCCTCCCTCCTATGGGAAATGGCTCAAGGGCTGGCTCACCACAGGAGACGAATACAGGCTGCTGGCAGGAGGTGCTGATGAGGCTGTGGGTGTGGGCTCAGCCTTGGGGTATACAGTGTAGGTGGACTTCTGTCTCTGGGGTAGGATTAGGAGAAGCATCATTCAGGAGAGCATGCAGCACAGGACAGGTCAGTGCTGCCATACCCCTGACTCTAACCAGCAACCCCAGGGAAGCCTTAGGGTTCCCTTCCTGAGACCCAGCCCACCACGCGGCTTACCAGCCTCTCCTTCTCTTCTGCCTCCGACTGCGACAGGGCCAGAGCCAGCTGCAGCTCCTCCTCCTCCTGCAGGGCTGTCTCATCCCTCTTAGGAGGCAGCTGAGGACCAACAGGGCTGGGTGAGGTGGGGAGGGGGGTGCCCCGGAAAGACACCCCCATGGGATGGAGGGAGCCAGGTACCTGGGACTGCTGAGACAGGGGGCTGGTCAGGTACTCCGGGGGCAGCTCGGTGGTGGAGGCTGCCTTTCCTTCCGCTTTCCTGGAGGAATAATGGATGCCGCAGGTGACCGTGTGCAGCCCCAGCCCTGCCCCTGCCCAATTCTCAACCACACCTCCCAGGGTTTCTTCTGTCTCCATGTAGTGATGATAGCAGTTCCATAGGCCACATGTGGCTGAATGGCCACACTCCAGAGAAGGAAGGACGTGGCGGGTCTCGAGACTCTTGAAGCCACTGCAGGGCCTGCGGCAAGTCACTTAGCCTCACCATAGTCCCTCTCCTGAATACACAGATTCAAGAGCCCCACCTGGCCAGGCTGCGGGAGCATGAGGAAGCCACTCCTAAAGCACCAGAACACTGACCATGATGGCACCAGATCCCACCCCAAGAAGGTGCTGGGAAGGGCAGCAACCCTTCTAGGCTTACAGAGTCAGAGTTTTCCTGAGCTCTCTATAGACCCCGCAGATCATCTCTGGAGAGCACCAGTCTCAGAGAGCCACACGTTCATGGCAAGGTCAGAATTTCAACCTAAATGTGCTGACGTCTAGCCTCAGGCTCTCTTCTAGAAGAAAATACCACACTAAAACAGACCCTTGTGACACCTGGGAGGGGGGAAACACCAACCAGGGTGTGCAAAGGAAACAATAGAGCTAGGAGACCTGTCATGGAGCCCTTGAGTCACAACCAACTCACACGAGCATCGCCCATGGCCATGAGAGACAAAACATTTACATGGCTTAAGCAAGTTCTTCTTAGTTACAAAAAGGAAAAGGAACCTTTCAGGGAGCAGCTCATCACCAGTAATGGCCAGACTCAGATGTGATGCACCAAGAAGGGCACAGTCTCACTCCTGGGATCCCAGCAAAGACAGAACTTAAACCTAAGTGTGAGGAAACTCAGACCCAAACAAAGGAACATGCCACCACGGCATGGCCTCAGAAATGTCCACTCACAAGAGACAGAGAGGCTGAAAACACATTCCAGGTGAAGGGAACCAAGGAAAGATAACAGCCCAACACAGCATGCAACTCAAGGCAGAGCCACAGAGGACACTGCTGGGACCAGGGCAGAACCAGAACATGGACTCCAGCACTGAGCTGATGTCCAGTGTCCTGACAGAGGACTATGTAAGAGGATGCTCTTGCTCTTAGGAATAGACACGAGGGATTTAGGCAAAAAGTGATGTGACATCTGCACTTATACATTCAGAGTGAAATATGCATATGTAGACCCACACAAGGCGTGTGGGCATAAAGGGATGTGACGCCTGTACTCGTACACTCACACATCAGGGTGAAACATGCATACGTGCATGCATGCAAACACACATGGCTGGGGAGAGAGGGAACATGCCAGCCACTGAGACTCCTGGGCAAAGGCCCCACCTATAGGTTCTCTGTGTTACTCTTACCACTTTTCTTTAAGTTTTATTTCCAAAAGTTAAAATGGAAGCCAACCAAAAAACAAGGCCAAACAAGTGGCTTGCCAGGGGTAGCCTCAGTCTCCCCGGGGCTGCAGTGCCCATCCTCATCAACTGGCCTCACTGCATGCCTGCCCTCATGTCTGTGGCAGGAGCCAAGGCAGTGCAGCTGCCTTGGCTTCCCCTTGACTGCTTTGGCTGACATGCTCTGAGGACCTCTGAGATATGCAGCCTTGGGCGCTGAGGTCAGAAAGGGCAGGAAAGCCAGGCTCACGGGGAGCAAGCCCCACCCGAGAGCCCAGCAGGGGACTCACTTGTTCAGCTGCTCATAGCAGGGCTCACACACGCGCACCTCCTTCTCGATGCCAAACTTGGGGATGGTGGAGTATTTGGAGGAGCACTTTCCGCAGAAAATCTGTCCGCATGCCCGGCAGTGGTGCTGTGGAACAGGGCAGGCAGGCCTGTCACAGATGGCAGTGGACCCTAAGTAACCACCCAACCAGAACTGCCCCCAATGCTGAGGCTGGGCCTCTCAGGCAGGGTAGACAAGCAGAAGAAACGCCTGAAAGGACACAAGAGCCCTGGAGAAACCAGACACTTCCAGGATTCTCAACCACAGACACCATTTAGGGAAAAATGAGGTAAAATTAAAAGAAATGTCAAGAAAAAACATACATAAATTTTGCTGATAAACAAGTTTTTGAGTGTACAGCAGGAACCAGAAAGTCAGCTCAGAATCCCACAGGCCCCACATTCCCACTTGCCAGCCTGGAAGTGCTTTAGTAGGAAGTGAGAAGGTGGCTTGAGGCATCAGAGGCCAGACAAGCCAAGTCATCTAAAGAAAAGGGGCACACAGCCATGGCAAGCAGAAGAGGAAGGACCCTGGCAAAGCCTTCAGCACTCTGGTTGGAATATTACAATCCCTGGAGTAAGGCTGGGCCCTCTCCCATGGAGGGCCCTGGTTGTCTCCAACACCAACTCCTTGCTGCCTGCAAGCTGAGAGCGGGATTTGCCTCCTGAGCAACCAGAAAGGAACGGGGAGGTGGTGCTGGTGGGCTGAGGCCTCAGGGACAGCAGGGGCCTAGTGTCTGCCCAGCTGTGCGTGATGGCAGCAGGGGTCCGGCCTAGAGCAGAGCCCCCACCCATGCCCTGAAGCGAACACTCACCTTGCGGGTCACCACCCCAAACTGCACTCTGCACCGGTGGCATTCCTCGGCATCCACCCAGTCAGGAGCCTGAGGGGCAGACAGAGTCAAGATCCCACAGCCCCCCACCCAGCTCCAGAGACAGCAGAACCTCCCCAACACCGCACAGATGGGAATGAGACCTAGAAGACTCCAGCACAGGCGAGAGCAGCTGCCCTGGCCTAGCCCTCCTGGTGGCCCCAACCACAGGACTTGGTGTCAAGCTGCTACACTCTGAGGAAGGAAACCCCCAACAGGGGCTTCTCTGGTCAAAGGTGTGAAATGGTGACTTCCCACGGTTTTGAGGCTGTGTAAATATTTAGCTACCTGAACTCACTAGCCACAGCCCAAAGGCCCCTTGAGTTGTGTTTCCACTGCAACCTGCAGAGATGGCTGCACTCCCCACTCAGGAAACACGGGACACCCTCACCTCTGAGACAACAGCTCACCCACCAGTCCCAAACATGTCAATTCCTGGGCTCCCCGCCTGCTTTCTGAACAGCCCAACCCTAAGACCCCCTGGCAGCCAGCCTCACTTACTCTCTCAGCAGCAAACATGGCATCACTTTCCTTGAATTCTGGGAAGACGTGTCCTGGAGAGAGAAGGCCATGGTCACCACCTGACCCTAGCCCGGTCTGCATGAGTGCCCCTTCCTGGCTGTCGGCTGCCTCCCCACACAAGCCCCTTAGGACACCCAGAGTCCAGGCAGCAAGGCACCCTCCTCCCCAAGAAATGGCAGTGACCCTGCACCTGGGTGAGAGCTCTGGGGTATTGGGATAGCCTCCTGCTCCCAACACTGGCATCCCCCCCCCACAGGGCCTCTGTCCTCGTAGCAGATGAGGGCCAGGCCTCGCTACCCTTCTCTTTCATAAGACCCTGTTTCCACTCCCTGAGGGCATCATACATGTCGTGTGGTCCCCTTGTCTTCTGCTCTCCCCAGAGTTCTCACTGCCCTGAGACCAGGGCCCTGAGGCACAAACCCTTCTGAAAAGCCAATAAAGCTTCAGACCTGCTCCCTGAAAAGTACATGTACACAGACAACCAGAATGCCTGCCCTGGGCTGTAGAGCCCCAGGCAGCTTAAGAGTCCCTGAGTTCCTCACACAGGGACCGCCCTGCAGCCCTTGAGCCAGTGCCAGCTCCCACAGCAGGAATGTGCTACCCTCTAGAGCCCGCCCTGCTCCCCACACTCCAGGCCTCATCTTTAGGCTAAGCTGGGGCCATGAAGAACTAGTGCAACTGCCCATGCCCCAAGCACCAGCAAAGACCTCTGCATATATCCTGAAGCTACTACCCCTCTCTCTCCACAACTATGACAGCCAGAGGTAATATAGACAGTAAGAGCCTGAAGAAACTGCCTGTGACTTCCTGTTGTGCTCAGAGCAATAATAAACTCAGCCCACAACTTGGGAGGCCCTTAGTGAGCGGCTGGGGCCACACTAGCCACCTCTGTCTCTTCGGCAGGCCAGGTATGCTCTGGCCCCAAGGTCTTGACCCTGAGCCTCCTCCTGTAGGATGCTGACCTGTCTGCTCATGCCAGTTCTTGCTTGTGTTCTGGTCTCAGCACTAAGGCACCTCCTCCAGAGGTTTTCTCTGACCACACACCCAAACTGGCTACCCCCAGGGGCCACGCCCTTCTATGAAATGGGCTAGTCTGTCCACCCCTACCCAGTGGGCTATGAGGCCCAGTAAGGCAGGAGCTGGTCTGAGCCAATCCTCCCTCCGTGCAGCTTCTCTGGTTCCCAGAATATCACGCTCCTCACTCAGCAGGGACTGGCACATACTCCCTGGCCCTGCGTCGCTGTGTCCACCAGGCATGATTCTGCCCAGCAGTTCTGAGCCTCAGCCTGGCATCCCCCTCCCCCCGCCCCAACTCACCCTCCACCTTCATGATTTGGTAGGTATCCTGGACCACCTTGTACTTGGGCTCATTCCGGAAGGCATGAGCCCAGGCCTGGATTAGGTAAAGGATCTTGTTCCGCACGTTCACTTCCACTTGTCTCTGCAGGGCAGGGAGGAGGTGAGGGTCACCGGAGACTCCAGGTGCCAGAAAGGCCTCAGCATAAGGAAGCAGCTGGCAAGACCCGTGGCTCCCTGGGCCAGCACATAGTCAGCAAGGTCCCCAGAACCATGCATCAACCCATTCCCAGGTCCCCTGAGTTTGAACCTTCATGCCTGACCACACTCAGGGCTATGACTCTTCTCTAAATCTTGCAAAAAAACAAGAGACTCACTGGAGTCAAACCAGGCCAGTTCCATATGCCTCACAATCACTTGTCCCTTTTGCTGTTTCTCTGTGGGATTCTGACCAGCCTTGGGATCCCCCTGGGTCTGTAACCCTCACTCAATCCCTGGCTTCCACCAGCTTCTAACAGGCAGGACCAAGCAAGACAGACCAAGGAAGCACTGTGTGGGGGCTAAGGACACAGGACCACTTTCAGGCCCAGGGAGTTAGCTTCTCCCTCTAGTCCCAACCAGGGAGATGCAGGAGGGCAGCCATGCCTGAATCATCTCCAGATACAGGGTGGGCTCCGTGTTAGGGCATAGCCCAGTCTCGAGTCCAGAGCTCTCTCAGGACGCTGTCCCTATGCAATGCTGGGGAAGATACCCTGAGATAAGAGGCTGCTTCAAGGAGACACCACAGCTCTGGCAATGGGGTCCGAGTTCTTTTCTGGGATCTGTCTGCATCCACCAGTGGGCCCCTTTCTTACCATAACCCACACCCCCCCATAGAGGAGTGGACTAACTTAGAGGATCTGCAGCATGAGCAAGATAAGCACACCAATATGGTAAAAGATTCCAGCACCTTCCGTCTTTCAGGCAGGACCGGAAGTCGGTCAAGGTGACCAGTTAAGGCCTCCAAGATACCAGCTGTCTGCTGGGATCCCAAGATGGCTCTCAGCGGCGTGGGTCCAAAGAAGAGTTTCCTATAAGACCAAGGCTGGCCCACAGGTCGTGGTGGAGGGGGAGCAGCCTCACTTCAGGTGGAACACCCTTTCACCCCAGACAACAAATGAATCATCCCTGCCGCATCACTGCCCACATCACAATCTCTGCAGGTACCTAGGGGTAGTCTCCTGAGGGTCTGGAGGACTTTTCCTCCTCTGTCACAGAAGGGCATAAAGCCACAAAGAAGCCATAGGTGGCTCCTGCTCTGCTGCTTTTCCTCCTAACTCCTCCAAGATACATTTGAACTAACACATCCTCCCTGCTCAGACTCCTCCCCAGCTCCTGCTAAGGGTACCCTCCGGGCTACCTTCTCTGCCTACTCAGTGAGTATCCACTGCCTTCAAGACTCAGTTCTCAGCCCTGCCTCCTGGAAGCCTTCCCTAGGTTCCCAAGAAGATCAGGTATCTCCCAGGCCAGGTTCTGCTTAAACCCTGGCCTCACTGGATTGGGGCTCGTGGACATCTCTCCCCAAGCCTGAGCATGAGTTCATGCAGCACACCCAGCACCATCCTGTCTTAGATTCCTGAAACACCCAGAAAGGCAAAGGCACCTGCCTGGGTGACCACACCTACCCCCTGGTCTCACCCTCTAGAAGTGCTTACCTTCAGCAGATCCTTTAGCTCCTCCATGGTCTGCTTGTTGGCCACCTCGTCGTGGACAGTCTGGCCACAGTTCTTCACCACAGACTCCATGACCTGCAGACCCAAGGAAGGGAAGGGGAGGGTCAGGATGGTGGGTAGGGCAGAGACCTCACCTCCTCCTGGACATATCCTCCTCCCTGTGAGAAGGCAGGCTTCCGACAGGCCTGTGAGGTGCCTCTAAGATGTGTTGGAGAGCTGGGCTCGGTGGCTCAGCCTGTAATCCCCCTGCTTTGGGAGGCTGAGGTAACTGGATTGCCTGAGCCCACGGGTTCGAGACCCGTCTGGGCAACTTGACGAGACCTCATCTCTACAATAAATCAAAAAAATCAGCCGGGTGTGGT